TACATACGTACATACGTACATATGTACATCCGTACATACACACATACATACATACCTACCTACCTACCTACCTACCTACATACATACATACATACATACATACCCACACATACGTAGAACTTGGCCTAAATTACTGTTCCCAAAATGTGCAAAATTTGTATGGGGACCCGTTTTAAAATAGAACCCAAATATAGTGATCCGTATTACAATGAGTTTTTGACAAATAAATACCCGACTACATACACACGTTGCGCTACGGTACTCTTTCAGCCAGCAGTTCACCCACTTTTCCTGATGGAGTCACTGAACCCATAGCTTGCCTTGGAGCACCCTCAGTCCCATACATATTTACCAGTGGGTCCCGTTAAAGGGTTATAGGCTATGCATGATTTGAAGCAAATGTGGAAACTGCCAACCTTGGAAAGCGCTTCGATGACGTCACCCAAGGCTGTGAGGCCTTGGCTTGCAGATCACTCCGCACTACTTGACTGCGTTGCTGGTACGGAACTTAGATTTAGCTGCTAGATGTAGCTACCAAGACATGAGAGGACAAAAATACATATACGCCTCTGACGAATGATATTCACGGTTTTCACATTCTTGTAACGGAATATGACTTCCTGAGCAAAAGCCCCGTTCCGTCAGAGCTGCGAGCCTGCCTTGACAATCGGAACCAGTGCCATCCACAGAAAAACGGTTGATGTATGAGGCAACAACAAGGCTGGAAGTCAAACTTCGACTTACACGGCACTTGAAACAGCTTGAAACAACTCTAAAAAATGAAAGACGGCCTCTAATTCACCCTCCTGGGCGCTAAGCTCTTGTTGATCTCAATTGCCTCCTTCAAGGCATCTCCGCCTCAATGCCGTCAGAAAAGTTGAGGAAGGTTTAGAGTTTGGGTATTTGCTGCATGCTGCAACTCTCAGCTCCAGTGTTCAACGCCCTGCAGCCTTAAGTCTTGGGACACATACCTAGGGTGCAGGGTTCAGGAAACAGATTTCAGGCGAGAGAAGCAATTCCATGGGCTTCTGGAAGTACACATTCGTTTTTCTCAAAGTTACTCTTTTCCCCTAAGACAATATCATGATCCTTACTACAATAATCCTCAAGGGAGCACGCACCCGTCTCAGAAACCCAACTACCAGAAGCACCCAGACGCATACCCCAAAAACTCGTCGCCGCAACCCGACACTAGAACTTGAGCACCCCGAAGACCCTCGTCACTGATCCACCAACCCCAGGCTCCAAGCTCTGAACCCCAAACCTGGGACTGAGGTTGAGGCTGACCTCACTCTTCTTGGGGCGCTCGGACCCTGCCAAGTCGCAGAGAGTGATCTTCCCGTAGATAACCTGGCGATTGTTTGAGGTTTTGGGGGCTTCAGGATCTAGGGACTCAAGTTGAAACCTTGGGTTCCAGGACAATGTTGGGAATAGGCCCCGTACTTCATGGTACGTATGAGCTCCACTGTCCTTCTCAAGTGAGAAAAAGCAAGAATTACGTGCAAGGCCATAGCTTCTGCCGAACTATCCGGTTGCCAGGCAGCAATGCGGCAGTAGTCGCCACATGTCCCCGACTTCTGTCTAAAGTGTTCACTTGTCGACCCCAAGCGCTGCGTGCCGCCTCTTGACAAATACGAAAGATAATGTGAAACACAAACAAATCTGTCATAAAGACATCCGAGGTTCCTGACCTGCTCTGTGTCCTTCACGACAGCCTCGACAATAATGCTGAGCCTCAGAAGTCACCATGCTTTCTGAGAAACCGGATGCTTGCCATAATCAAGGCAGACATGGGGAGGTTGTTCACTGGCACGTGGCTCCTTGATGCTCAGAAGCCACTGCCGCAATCAAACCCTGAACTACCTGACCTCAACTCAACCCAAACCCACCCCCCCCAACTTCAATGCCATAGAATCCAAGAAAGCCCTGCAGAATTTCCACAAAGAATTCCTGAACCTTCAAAAACATCAAAAAACAGCCTTGCTCTCTAAGCTTCCGGCAGCAGATGTGAGCGGCTACTGCTGGAATTCATTGCCGTGGAGGCAGTCTGAGTTGCTGTCAAAGGCCAAAAGTCAAGAGGTCCCGCAATTTTGAGAAAGTTTATGCTGCTGCCCACAGCCAGGATGCGGATTCAATAGGCTTTAGTGCTAGAGCGGGTCATTGAATGCCTGACAATTTTCGGGAAGGCCGAACACAAGGACTGAAGCAAAGATGTTCGAACGTGCTCAAGACATGCATCCAATGTCCTATCCCAATGTCCTATCAATCGTCCCCATAATCATCTCTACAGTAACCAAATCAACAATTTCTACACCGCTCTCTCCTCCTTATAAATGGGACCAGCGTTTTAAAACAATTGGATCACCAGCCGAGGAAGTTGCGTGTCGTCTGCGCTCGCCTTCGGCTAGCACAGCCTGGTCTAAAAGCTGGAAAGCTTGGAATCAAGTACAGTGAAATCCTCAAAATCCTGGTGCAACATGCCCTCACCCCGAACATTTAGATCTTCTCGACATTGTATCCTTACGTTGATATTTCAGTGGAATATGTCGGAGAATACCTATTGTTAAGGTTCATGAGGCTTCGACTATGGGCGGGGGGGGGGGGGTTCAGAATACTTGGGTAGCCAAAACGTCCAGAACCAGGGTCTACACGGATGATGCTGGGATTTGGATTTCATTGTAGGTCTGAGCAAGGGTTTCGCAAAAAGATCAGGGACCTTTTTCGTTGAGGGATGCATTGGGGCTAGCATATGCGCACCCATGCACCAACCGATATCTGATCATCTGATCTTAATCGTTGGAACATGTGCCACACAGCGCTACAGGGGTCGGCCACAAAGCGCAACAGCGCCTCATGGTCGGAGGGACACATGGGGTGCTGTAGGACGTGGCTAGAATGTACAAGGGCCAACGGCATTGCGCAGCAAAGCCACTTTTGACAACTATAGCCTGCAACCCCCAAGGACCAAAATACCAGCAACATTAATAGAACTGGGTGGACTTTTGTACAGTAGACGGGAATATGTAGAAACGATGTGAGTAGATATGGAGGCTCATGCACATAGGGGTTGTGTGCGGGGTAACCTGCCGCAACTGGTGTCAAGGCTAGCGGCTAACTTTTCGAGAACGTGTAGCAACCTTGGCAAACCAAATGTAAAAACCCTAGGAGCACAGGGCAGCTGAGGAAGCAACGCAGCACGCCCCATCCCCAAGAACAATCGTTCTGCATGTGGAGAAACGTCTCTGCTGCGTACACTTTGCCTCCCTCCCGATGCTCAGGGTTGCAGACCATATTCTATTTGGAAAGCCAGGAGTCTAGATCTTGCAGCCTAAGCCCTACAGATTCCTCTGCATGCATGTTACACGTGCTAGTGTTATCCGGACTAAGTGTTATAGTACAGGAGACTGTAGGGCAGAATCTGGTTAGGACTTGGAGATTTCTCTGCCTGACGCTTTACCCTCTGAACCCCGACGGTTATCCTTGGCGCTTTTCTATTGAGCTCCGTTTTGAATATGATGCATCCATTGCTCTGTAAGGCCTTCACCCATATGTCTAGATATGTATAAATATGTATGTATATATATATATATGTCCTCATATACCCAAATATCGTCTATATATCCCTTAATGTACGAACATGACGCCAGAAACGATACATGGCCAGACTCCACCACAACTGGGCCTGGCCTTCAGCTGCTCGGGGCTTGCGATCGGCCGCTCGCTGACGCCCTGGCCGATCGCAAGCCAGCTTCCCTCTACAGCACGGCAACGACCTAAACTCAAAGACGGAGCAAACTTTTGGGGTAGGAATATGAGGTTGCTATAAGCAGTACTCTAACATACCCTAGCTGGTCAGGCCCTTGCTGCACCTTCAACAGGAGTTCAAGGGAGGATGTTGTGGGTATGCGGAAAGCACGTGCACCCTATCAGCACTGGTCACTACTGAAGAGGGCCTCGCCCCAAGAAGATGAGAAGCCGCTCCCTAAGTCCTTTTTCCCACATGTAGCGTCACCAAATCTGAAACCCCACATCCAGGGCTGTCCCGCCTCCACGAACATAATTCCACGGCCTGCATCCTCGTACTGCCGGAGTCAAGTCTAGGATTTAGTAGCAACACTTGACAAACATGAAACGCAGGCTTACCCATGCTTAGCTCGGGAATGGATCCCTGTAGAAGCTCCCGTGCCTGCAACCCTTTTCCATATTCCACACTGAGCCTGAGTAAACAGATTTAGACCCCATGCATGCAGTGGGGTTTAAAGCGGGAGGCTAACGTATATTGTTGCTTCGGCTTGATGATCCAGCCTTGTTTGCGGCAGACTTGCTCAGTAAGAGCTTGGAGCTTTGCTACAGTACTGCATGAACCGCAAACCAAGCCCAAACCCAGCGTGCAAGGAGTGTCCTGTCAACGCCTTACTCCAAAGAACATCAATCCTGTTCATGCTTGCAAGCCCATAACCCTCGACCCTAAAGAAGACACCCGCAAACCTCAACGCCAGGTCCCCAAGCCTGAGCTCTAAACCCAAAAGCCCCGAACACAACCTAAATTCCGTGAAAATGCATCCTAAACCCTGCGCACTAAAACCGTGTGTCCTTCTTCACCTGCAAGGACTTCTGATCTTTCGGTCTGGACTCGACCAGCAGATCCTTGGAGCAAGCTCTGGAGAGGAGATGACCTTTGAGGGTTCGAGGGTGTTGGGTCCTCCTTCCCCGTTCTGGTCCGCTGTCGAAGAACTTGAAGTTAAGTGATAACTGCACACTTTGTACGAACTTGTTTTGTCTAAACTTGTTGCCATACCGTGGCGACATAATCGAAGCTCATCAGCAGCAACCTGCAGCGAGTGAAGGGAGGTGGAAGCGAACACCTGCAGCGTTCCCCCCAAAAAACCTCAAATGTGCACGTGTACTCGTGACTATATGCACTGCCAAACTCCTGCTTCAATTTCGGATGTCAAAGTTGAGCGGTTCACGCCGGGGTTTCTGAAGAAGACCCTGGTGTACACTGCAAGCCCTTCTTGGATGACCTTGCAACGTCCGTCATAACCGCAAACCTTCCTTGGAGGCCTGATATTACTGGCATTTTGGTAGAGCGTCCACCGCATCAACCTCCTGTCTCAAAGTAAGCCCGCCTGTATACCCAGAAAGTAGTACTGTCCATGCCATAAAGACTCCAAGACGAATCACTTCATTTCGAGAAGCTGTAAACCCTTGACAGCCCTAATGTAACCCTAGATCATCCCCAGGCGACCCTTTGGAGGGACAAAAGATGTATCACGTCCGCCACTGTGGGTTGAGGGCTGTGCAATGATGTCCTGTTTGTACAGCCTCAGCTCCAGTGAAAAGGAGGCTGGTTTTGAGCGTGGCGTATTAGGATTTCGGCTTCAAGGTTGCTGGTTCAGGCTTGCATACCACACCCGAAAGTCTGGCCTTGAGCTTTGATTCAGGTAGCTGCTCGTCCTACCAGTCTTAAGTGGTTCAGGGAACAAATCCATCAGTGAGTACCATATCAATATCGGCGTGAGGCGTTCCCTGACCTGCCTCTCGACGTTACCCAAGATATTTACTCTGAAGGTTTAGGAAGGGATTGCCATCTTCCATGTCAGATATATAGACTTGGTCTCTCCCGGATGAACTCGCGACTAATGCTCTGCGGCGGAAGTGACAGGTTGAGCGAACGGCTGTGGCTCGACGATGATCTGTATTAAAAAAAAGTATCTGCGCCTGTTGCATGGCAAGGCGCTCGATCATGTAGGCCTTAACGGAGAAGCTCTTGCGGCCTTCGCTGCTTTTGCAAGCTTCAAGAAAGACCGTTGGCCAGGGCTCGGGCTGAGCGGGATGAGAAGCACACCTTCCTGTATGATAATAAATATCGCCATGCACCTCGAGGGGCTTACTAGTCCTTCGAAAACAGCAGCAAGACCTCCAGCAAATCTACGCCTAGCAATCTCACACAGTCACGTTCTAACCTACACCCTAAAGCACGCTAATGCTCAGAACAGTTCGTCACCTTTGCAGCACTGGACATACAAGCCTTGGCCCTCTTCCTTCCGAATCACGCGGAACAGGGACTCGATGGCACCTGTCAAGTTCGGTACACCGGGCGACACTTCGTGCAGACTACTGGTGAGAGGATTTTGCTAAGGGCCGGTCTTTGTCCTGCGTTTCATAATCGTGGCCATGTTGTCTTTGGGAGCTGTTGAGCAACAACCATCGTATCTAAGGCTTGTGCCAGCAAAGCAGCATCAACTTTTGGAGAGTCCGATGTAGACTGGCCTTGTACGGAAACCTGCCGAGATTTTTGACTATTTTTTTGTCTATTTCCACGCTTGCTTCGCACCACAACCCAAAACCCCCAAACCCTAAACTCCTAAAGCCGTTAAAAATCCAGAGCCCAGGTTCAACCCTCACACTTAGGAACCAGCGTGGTGCCAGACCCGGGTTCTCGTTGGTCCCGTACATGGTGTGCGTCCTAAGGGCTCATTTGGGGTTCAGGTGAATGTGGCCCAGGGGGTTGGGCTGAGGGCTTGAGTAAGACGAATCAGAAACGCATCCACTTTTGATGATCAGTTAAGGTCCCATGAACATGTCTTGTCACGTCTTGTGCATGAGCGTCAAAAGAAGAATCGCCAATGTCTGCCACATAGCGGGATAAAGATGGGGCATAGCATGAACAACAAGAAGTATGCCTTATGAAGAAACAGAATTCGGGTCATAGCCCCTTTCCATCAACTTCGAAGAGCAGGCAACGCATCTGAATCAGTGCCATCTTGGCCACGTTTGGGTTTTGGAGCTTAGGGCTGTATAGTCTTCTAGAGTTTCGGGGCTGATGTAGGGCATCTACGTTGAGCTTTGTGCCACCAGGCCATTCGAACCAGGCTTTCGGGATTAGACCTTCAGGAGCCAAGAGAGCGATCTCCAAACACCATTCTCCATGGATTGGAAGGCAGGGATTAGTTGCCATGCTGGCCAAAGCAAGAACAGATTTTTGGAGGAATTTCTTCAAAACAGGCTTGGCTTTCAGAATCCAACTGGTCTAAAGACAAAGTTACGATAGGACATACAAGGCCATGAAGTGTCAGAAATATCCCTGTCAACCCGCTCTGTGAGATGCTGAGCCCCCAATAGCCACATGACATCCTTTCTGTGAGCGACGCACGATAGAGGCACCCATCAGTAGAATAGCCTTTCGGGGACCATTGATATGAGCCGGCCAAAGCTGACTATGCAGGCTTCTACATTATCGTACCGGGATGCTACAGCCCTTGATTCAGCCCGAAACCTGACCTGAACGACAGATTCTTCCAAAGCCTGAGCTCCTGGTAAATACCATTCTGAGAGTCATACTTTCCGGCTCCTGTCTGACCGTAAGCGAAGATGGTCACCTGTTACAAAACTGGCTTGCACTTGAGGTTGTTTTGGGATTTGCAATTCATGGGCGGCTGTCCTGAATGGAATTCCGATGTTTTCCAGCGGACTGCGAACAAAGCAGCGGTGACTGAATGCAGTAACTGAGGCCGCCGGCGTTGTAGCCATCCACAGCGCTCTGCACCAAATCCTGGCCTGGTAGTCCGACAACACGCAAATCTGAGAACCTAGTTTGGACCTTGGAACAACTTAGCAGCACTGACCAAGTTCTCGCCTTATGACTTGTTCGCAGCGAGCTCGAAAGCCGCCGTCTTGTTGAAGCTCCCTCCCCCCCAGCAACATCAAATCATCAAAAGCTCATAATCCGAGCACCCAAAAATTAATCACATATTAGCTGGGATAATTCATGAAATAATTGCATAGGGCTGCCTCTAAGTAACATAGATGTAAAAACCGGAAGAGAATCAATTAACATCTACTTGAAACCAACGAAAATCGAGTCAACATCAATTAAACTTGAATTTAACTTTTACATATAACTCCTAGTTTCCTTAAACGGAATAGCACCGAGGAAACCAAGAGGATCCCTAACGCCTTTTGATTCCGTATCACACCCGCCTCTTAATGACCTGAGAGTCCACCCCTACTCATTATTAGGTGGTCCCGTTTAAACGTAGTCTTGCTCTTTGAAAAATGCTCTTCAGGATTTTTAGGCCCCTGGATCTATTCCTTAATATACGAGGGGACTTCATATTCGGGGAAAGGGACTACTTCTTTGCGGAGAGGAGCATTGAATTCACATTGCCTCGCATCAATGACATCCCTTGAGGAATCTCTACGCCTGACCCTGCCCCAATATTCAAGAGAGTTCCCGCACCTCATCTTGCTCCGTTGTCTTCTTTGTTGGATTCCTGATCTACTGGAAGCCAATGTCCACTTGAAGATATCAGAACATCGCCGACGTGGCTCTTTCCTGTAACAGGCTGATGCTCTCGCACTTCTATTTTTGAAGTGCTTTCACCTCACATCTCGTCACCAGTCTTTGCGCAAAGTAACTTGCTGAGCGCGGAGTGTAGCGTAGTGGTCATTTGCTTTTCGAGGTCCAACTCCGCATGCAGGCAGGCACGGACGCATCTGCCAGTGTTCGTCAGCTCAGAGACGCTTTGCTAACGAGGGATGCAACATGAGTGCGACCTCGAGACTCATTCTGGGCACCTATCGCTGCTTTAGTCCCCTGCACATAGCACCCCGCGACCTGCCGAAAATGCTGAGTTGTAGTGTGACGGGGGCCGCCAAAGAAAACCGGCCCTCTCGCAAGCCGCAATCTCTTTTTGCGGCGCAACTTTATGAGCAAATACCTGATGTGGATGTGGGGCGGGCTTTGGGGATGCTGGCGGCGGTCCGAAAGGATTGTAAGTGCCGAGCGAAACAAGCTACAAGATGTACCTCCAAGCTGGCCTGAACTGGCCCTTTCGAATCTCCTTCAGATTAAGTATTCCCCCTTTCCTCTTGGCTGCACTGACTGCGTGTCAAGCGCTGCTTGTAGGAACCTTCCTAAGGCCCCGGCAATCTCCGAAGACTTCCTCTTGCGAGGAGTCGCTGCCAAAGACCTCAGAATGCTACAGGCCTGAGGAGTTGTATGCGTCTTTCTGACCAAGGCACAAACCTTACCCCCATTAGCCAGTCACTGCAGCATGAACTGGCAGCCGCATACAGCAAACAATAACTTCCCAGCAGACTGGATTATAGCTTGTCTTGCAAACATTTCTGGCAGCTTGTTATCGGGAGCTTATGATGTTAACCCTAAGCATGAGCAACTTTTGGGTCGGGGCGTCCAAGGATGAGGAGCTTGTCTAGTTAGCCTGACTAGATGTCCGCAACTCTTGGACGCAGACCAGAAAAATGGGCCCCGTGGCAAGATCATCACTTAAGAAGCCCCCAAACGCCCTAAACCCAGACCCTGAACAATTCGGCGAGACCGCCTGCCGCTGATGCATCCTTCTCAGCCACAGGCGGCATCAAACTCGAAGCGACGGGAGTCGTTGTGGGGAGCCCCCCGTTGCAAATCTACGGAGAAGGCGTCTGCCTGCAGGGATTTCAAGAGCATCCGCTCCAGAGGTTTAGGGTTTTGCTTTAGGTTTTCAGGATTTTTGTGGGGCTTCAGCTCCAGGGTTTACGGGTATCAAAGGCTTCAGGGTGTGCAGGCTCAAGGCTCATTACATCCCCCGTTTTTTTTTTTTAACCTACGACCCAACATAGCAGCTTCCCTAGCGTAGCACTCATAAATTGGGCATAATGCGAGGCGATTTACTGCTCTCTGAGCATCCTAGTGAAGAGTCCCTGCCCACAGGAACTATGCCGAGCCTTCCTATTGTGCGTGTGTGAGCGCTTGATGATGTCTGCTGGTCTGTCCATGTGCAAAGTCTGGAATTCTCGCTGCTCATTGGGCCCTCCATGTTGCCTGTACATCAAAGCTAGTCAGGGAAAAACATGAAACCTTAATCTTCACGATTCTCGCCTTGTGAAGGACCGTCACATCCCCGTTCTCCTGCTCTCTCTTGCCCAGGGGCCGGAAGCGGCAGAACACGCGGATGGTACCCTTCATGTCCTGCAGACAGGTGGCTGAAATGGCAAGAGCAGATGCTGCAATCCCGGCAGAAGTGACTGCGATGATTGCAATGACCCCATTCTTCCATGCAAGAAAAGGAGGCCAAACTCATCTAAACACGGGCGTCCCTTACACACACACATACACCAAACGACAATAATCCTAGTCTTGCAGACGCCCCAGATGACCTGTAATCTTTTTTGTAAGCACCACATCTCAGTGCAGTGTGGAAGCCTTGTCCCACTGTCATGCTGCTGCTTCTTCCGGGCTTTTTCGGCCGAGGTCGCAGTTGTGAGGCTCGTAATCCGTGTGTAGAAGATAAAGTCAGGAAGTCTGCTCCGCACTCCCTGTATCCCTGCATTCTACCTGCTTAGACAGAACTATCGGCTCTGAAAGGCTTTCCTTCAACCTTTAAACCTCAGACCCTAAACCGAGAACCCTAAGCCCCATGCATAACCTGAACCCAAAGTTCAGAACTGTGCATTGGCACCTGGATCTGGTTGTGGTACTTCTTCCGTATCAGCTGCTCTTCCATGAAGCGAGCCTCTCACCGAGCTACAGGATAGGGGATTTAGGGTTTGAGGTTCCGGGCGTTGAGGGCTTACAGTTCTCCAAGGCGTGGGGTCTTCTGTGGCTCCTGGAAACAGCATTCCAATCTTCTGGCAATGCGGAATCTATAGATACTTTCCCCCTGATAAGCAAAAAATGGATGTCTCTTCCCCTTCAGAGTTCTCGGAAGCCAAGCCATAGAGTCCTTCAACATGAAGTGAAATCCGCCGAATTCCCGCAAGACGGGAGAAGCTCTGGCGCAGGCCTCATGAGGCCTTGCAATTAGGTCTCTTCTCGACTCAACATGCGATCCAGCATGGGAGCCCAAAATCGCAATTCAGGACCATAGGACTTTAGGCCATAGCTCAATGCTTCATCATTTAAATGCAGAACAGTTCACTTGGAGCCTCGAGCTGTGTGAGCTGTGCCGACAGACTGTCAACCTTGGAATTCAGCTGTTTCAGAAAGTCTGTCAGGTTCATTCAGGGAGCATGAAGGCGGGGTTATCACAACAGCGGAGGTGCTTCTGGGGCGATCGCGCCAGGATGGCTACAGCAACTCTGACAAGCTGAAAATTGAAAGCACACTCTTTAAGGGAGACCTTGATCATCTTTTTCGAGCGCTACATACCCCCAGGATTTAGGAGCACTCAATTTTGAGAAGCCCTCATGTCATTGAGTCGCCCGACCTTGACTCCCTCCGTAGTCATGAGGATCCTTGCGTCGTTTAATCTACACTATGCTACAAACGCACAGTCCTAACGACGACGAAAGTCTCCTTGCTGCCTGCGGTTGGGTGGCATTGTAGGTATCCAAGCCCCCAAGTCACAGCCACGCCTGGAATGAACGTCTGCAATCAACCGATGCCTCTTACGCGCTTTGTCCTAAGCTCGTACTTCAAGACTTTCATCGCCCGGAACCCTTCAATCAACACTGAGGCAGGCATTTCGATTGCACTTTGGGGGCCCACAGCTTCTTGGAGAATCCTCCCATAACGTGATATTGAACAGGTATGCCGGTACCACAACTTGAGGAGCGTGCCAGGGGCTGCATGGATCCTGCTTGCGCCTGCTGTTGGGAGTGTGTCGGTGACTGCGGGATCTACGGATCCATGCAAGTCCAAATGGCCGATGGTGAGCTCTGCAAGTCTGACTGGCCGATGGTGAGCTCTGGGCTGGGACGCCAGCAGTATGCATAGCCATGAAGCAAGTGATTCGTTAGCAAGGATCAAGGGTCTTGAAGACGTGGGGAGATTGCGTCTATGTACTGGCTGTGGCATTGTCTCTCTGTGTCCGGTGGGTAAAGTGCTCAGCTGCAAGCTGCGCCCTGACAGCATGGGATGCGCATGGCAGCCGCTAAAAGCAACACTTAACCCCGAAACTCAGGATCCATCAGTCCCACATCTTTTATGCCTGAAGCATGCTGAAAGCCCTGAACCCAAGCTCAAAGGCTCAAAGGCTCAGCAGCTCAGCTTCCATAGCTTCCCTGCCTCAGCTGCCTCAGCCCTGCGCAGGCTGCTCTCTGCCTCAGCGCGCGCCTCCAACAAAAGGCGGAACACGCTACTCACTTCCCCCAAAGAGGGTGGGTCTTTGCTTGCCTCTCTTGCGGTGCGACCTCCGCTAAGATGGGAGGCGCGGTTTAGTGATGTTGCGTCCCACTGCTGCGGCCTAAAGGTGGTGCGTTCCAGGTACTCAGGTTCAGAACTTAGGCAGCATGGCTCACAGTGATGCAGTCGAAGGCTTGAAAGAAAGCCGATGTCTGGGCTTGATTTTCTCACCTGTGAAGAATCACCGTGGGGTTCGATGTCTGTTTGCGTGCGTTCACTTGCTTTCTACACAGAACTTCAGATCTTTTGTTGATAGGCTATTGAGAGATTGAGCCTGCCTCGGCTTGCCTTTCCTATAGAGTTGGAGGTGCCTGCAGTACTATTCCGGACACTTTATCTTCCAAGTCTTGCATGCGGCTGCAGACAACCTGTCGAAATTAACCAAATTCCGAGTAGACACAGCTTCAAACTTGAAAGCCGACACACATTTGAGGTCCATTCCCTACTTATGCCACGCAGTCTGTCCTGAGATTCTGTCTGCCCGTGGCATATAAAATTTCTTGAACCCTTTTGGGGGAAGAAGGAAGTTTCTCGCAAGCCGCCTGGTCGAGAGCCTGCATCTGTTGCAGCTCGTTGTCTCTGAGCTGCGACCTGAACCACAGACGCTTAGAATCAAGTTGCTTTCGCTCCAAGCTTGGGACTTGTTTCATCAAATAGGGAATGCGCGTTACAACTGATGAAGCAGAACGAAAGTATCCCCAAAGAAACAGAAGAGAGCACCAAGAGACATCACACTTGCCAGAAAGACGAGCGTATGCATGTTCAAGAAAATTATCTTCGTTTTGTTCATGCTGCAGGAAGGTTTCTGGGAAACCCACACAAGAATTTCCACCAACATGCCATGCAAGCAAGCGTTAACACCCCCCAACACCCTCACAGTTTCCTTTTCGATGCGCTGGCACCTCGGAGCATAGGGCACCTTTCACCGCTCCCTTTCCTGTGAACAAAAGCTATAATCTGCCACGTGAGGACTTAAGCGCCCCAATGGTCGGAACTTTTTAGGTTCCACTGCAAGGCTTCCGACTCGAGCTGCAAAGCTTTCGCGTTCACGCTGTTTTCGGCCTGCGCTGGTAGCAATGACCATCTCGGTACGATTTCTCTTCAAAGTGAACCTCAAAGTGTAATTTCGAGGCCCAGTTTAGGGGTCGTCATTTTCTCGCAGTAGCTTAAAAGCGGAACCCTCATTGAGATATCCCAGGCTATGTAATGCATTCCAAGGACTGAGGTCAAGTTATTCTTGGCTGATCTGCAGCGCGACGGAGCGCAAGATCCCTGCAAATTGATCCTGCCCAACATGAGCGTCCTGCAGATAATGTGTGTATGCCAGATGTTTGAATCGGTCCCTTCACTTTTTTACCTGTACGGTACGGAGCCACGTTGGCAAAATGAGTATGGTATGGTATTGAATGTGAGGACTTCAGGATGTGTTCAGCTTCAGAGTACTGCACAACAAAAATGGCAAACCAGCGCAAATCCTAAACACTGCAAACGCTTCATAGTTTCACTGCAACCTGTGAACACCCAATTAGGACTATAAGAACTGAAGTCATCGCCACTACTGCGCATGTGGGAAAGCCAGCGCCACTTCATCCTCCCTATTCCTCATGAACCGGATTATTCGGGAATTCTAGTTGACCAAGATGTCCTGCATCAAGAGTAGTTCCCGCCTTGCCAAACCATCAGCTCAAGCTGCTAGGTCCCAAAGCCAGGCAGCACAGCAATAACCAGACCATCCCTTCACAGCGCGGCCATCATCTCGCAAGGATCATCATTAGAGCATCTACCCACATCACGACATGAAATTCTACATGCCAGGGCCCTGGAGCACGCAATTCAGCCGCCTCTCCTAGCCCCTGCGCAATCCTGTATTCTATTCTACACCAGGTCCACTAAAGCTCCGTACAAAGAGCCATGACTGTTGACTGCTCAGCCGGCACTGGCCTGCTGTAGCTCTACCTGGAGCTGTCTACACCTGCAGCTAGCTGAGGAGGTTCTTGTCTTTGGGTTTGAGCTTTGTGGCTCACGGTTTAGTGTTTCACAAATGTTCAGTTTGTTTTTAGCGCTTATGCTGTATTTGTGGATTCAGGTTGAGGGCTAGGAGGCAGTGCGGCTTTCAAGTTTGCAATGCAGCACATCGCATCGCTCAATCAGCTTGGTGGGATTTTCCTCAAGCTCCTGAGTAAGGCAGCTCTTAGCGAAACTTTTCGAGCGCTGTGAAACATAACTGAGTTGGGAATTCTGTGCATGTTGATGAAGCTGGCGGCTCTCTTGGGTCAGCCTTCTGTCTGAAGATGCAAATGGTGTTTCTGGCCCAGTTGTCATGGCAATCTTTTTGATGCGCTCCGGGACGACGGGTTGTCCACAAAGCGCCCTAAATCTCATCTCACGAGCAGATTCAGGAAGCCAGGCCAATCCTCCCTATGTGTGTCCATGCGTATCCCCAGCCTCCGGAAGCCGCCAAGTGCCAAAAGCAAAAAACCACAAACCCTAAAATTACAATCCTCCTGAGGCACAGCAAGCCCTGAACCCCAACCCCCATCCCCCCCAAAAAAAACTCCAACCCAACATTTTTCTGGAAGCTGAAGCTCCCACCATCCCCCAACCCGACGCTGCGCCCCAGAGCTCGCCTGGCTTCTGCTTCGCGCTTGGCAGAGCCAAGGGCACCTACCTGCTCAAAGTTGGAGCCTTTGGGGCCTTAGGGCTTCAGCTTTCGGGGATTCGGGGTTTAGAAAATTTAGCATTTACTTAGTGTTGAAGACTTTGGGGTTCAGGGCTAAGGATTCATAAAGCTTAAGTGACTCAAGTGTCTGAAACCTGGGCTTAGGGGTCAGGGCTGTAAAAAATTTGGTCCAGTGTTTAAAGTATGTATTCTGCGTATACAGCTCTGACTTCAGGGTCCCGTGCTAAGGGTATGGAGGTTGGACTGGGGACGCAGCATCTTGAACTTCTAATTACTTAGCATCGGAATGACGGTCCTGAAGCTGCCACATCCAACACCTCTGACTGTAACATGTTCTTTACCGCTCGAGGGCGTGAGTTGTTGTTGAATCGGAGAACTTACTGCAGGGTAGCAAATTTCTACTGAGGCTGCCGAACCTTGGGGATCACTCAACTGCAAAACATGAAATTGGATAGATTTTATTTTGGCAGGTTCCAATACCTCTGGGCCTACCACAAACTGTAATGCAACTTTTCTGACTGGGGCAAACATACAGTAAACCCACTGAAGCAAGAGCCTCGTCCTGAAGCCGAGCGAGCTGCTGCTTCCAGGCCTGCGACATCCCCGCAGACAAAAAAAAGGGCTGATCAGTCTCACAAGGGATTCTACCCTGGAGGCTCAGCTACCCAGATCATTGACTTCGGGGCAAAAGCCTAGTCGGAATTCGGAGCGTGCTTTGAGGTTTATCGGACTTACCGGGAACCCTTTTAAAGGCCAGTTTGGGGATGCAACAGAATTGTAGTCACGACGATGAGCAGTGCATAGCAGCGCCTAAGTTCCATGAACCTGCAAGTCGCCTCAAGAAGGAAGCAAGGAACGGGCATTTCAGGTTCTGGTGGACAGAATGTTTATCAGAAGACGGAAGGCTTTCCATCCTAATTAGAGTTCCCCACTTAATCATGCTTCAAAGAGTTGCTCCGAACCAGAGGAAAGAAAACCAGTAGGAAGCTGGCCATTGAGCCAAGTCAACCCCACACAGGACACACAAACACTACACAGTAACCCTAACAAACCAATACCTCACAACCACTACAATTCAAAAATCACCGAAACACCAGAGAGCGAGACTGTTCCTCTGAGACAAGTGCCCTTTGCTCTTGCTCCTGGTCTTTGCCGGCAGATTGCAAGCGCTGTAGCTGGAGCTCCTTAGCAAGGCGATCTCATATGGCCGTGGAGCTAGCTTCTTCAAATCCAGTGTAGATCATGCTGCTACAAACAATGTCTCAGCTGTAGCGCCAGCAAGTGAACTTCACAGACGCCCACTCCACATAATCCATACCAAGAAGCAACAAAAAGAAGAATCTTCAAAGATGTACAACCCCTACTACTGTTCACATTGGCGACACAAATGCCAAAGCAGGCCAGTGTCCACGCTCCCCAGGATCAGCGCACCTTTGGCCTTGCGTAAGGATTTCTTGCAACGGGATAAGACAGTCTTCTAATTAGTATTCCATGTGTGTCGCTGCACCTCCACATTGCCTAGCGTATCGGTTCTCCCAAAATCTGTGGCCAGCAGCAGAAATACTGCGCACTGGGACGATCAATTAGTTCATCACGCTGAAATGTGGTCTGGCTGTGCGCTTCGCCGCAGCAAGCCCACATGCACTGAACATGAATTTACAAGAGCAATCTTGGCCAGCAGATCTGTCGTCATGCCAGGTATCCAATGACCTTACATTTATGCCCTCTAACTTGCGGCAAGTAGACAACACCACAGGCAGTGATCCCCAAACCTGCTTTGGACAGTAGTCTTCACAATTTCGAGGCAGCAGGCTTTCTGCCTCAGTTTCTTGGAATCCGAATCAACAAACACTTCAGCCAGTCCTTCATGCGAAGCAACTGGATCTCGAGGCAGTGGGCTGATAAGGGATGCAACCCTGTCGGGATTTTTTGTGGGTTCCACTGCCTTCATCTGAGCAAGCGCAGCAGTACAGCATGTTGACAAAAAAGCCAACCGCAGGTACTGTTGACCGCCATGGTTCCCAAAAAACAAGTGGGTCTGTTTCCAGCACGGGGATCCTGACAGTTGGGGGTTATATTGGACGCCCCTCAACCTCAAACAACCCCCATAACTCTCAATGCCGCTTCGACAGGAGAGAGAAGTCCCCCAACTCACACCCCTGAACGTCAAACCCAAAACCTCAAAACCCTGACGCCCCTGAACTTGAAACCAAACTCATAAGCCCTGGACTATCCCAAGCCGCAAACCCCCGACCCTATAAGGGCCTCTTCATCCCAGGGAACGCCGTACCGCGCGCAAAGAGTTCGCGCGGCGCTCCGGACATCCTCTTCCACTGGATAAATTGGAGTAGTGGTAGTGTTCAAGGTTCAGGGCGATGTCATGGGCCCTTACTGGGATTGAGGCCAAAGTGCATTGTGCGAGGTATTTATTGCCTAGGGATTGAATAGGAATTGCTCTGGGGAGCACGAAGGCAGTAATTAAGGATTGCTGTGAATTCTTTTTTCCTACAATGCCCGGCACCTGGATTCTGGGGTAGGGTTCTGACTGCAGTGTACCCAAATTGCCGCGTCTGTGCCACTTATGCTCAGCCAGGAAACGGATAGCGGCTTCCAAACTACCCACTCTTCTCAAAAGGGACGAAATAAAAGCAGTGACACAAATTAAGGCAGAACCGCAGAGCCCTAAAGCATCAGTGCATGCGCTACACTACTTCAAAGCAACACGGCCTGATAGGATCGAGATGCCTCAGTGGCCGCTGACCGCTCCTAAAGGTTTGAATTTTGTGTCTATGGAGTTAGGGATCATATAACCTCTATATAACCCTATATAAGCCCTAGATACCCCTATAACATAAATGGGTACAAGCTGTACAGTGGAAAGGCTTGGTTGGGTCTGGGGGGCTCAAGGTTCACTGCTCATCGATATGCCTCACATGTGGATATGATTTGCTATCGACATGTGTATACTATATATATATATATATTTCTACATGTGTTTGGTGTAGGGATTAGGGGTTCATGCGCATGAGTTGTACAGGGCTATGCTTTTCTCCATTTAGGGTAAGGTTATGTGCCCTGGTTTAGGGTTTAGGGCTCAACTGGGTGGTAGGTGTGTCCTAGCTACCATACGCCCTGGAAACTCTTGCATTCTGGTATATTAAGGCCCTGCAGGAATCCCATGTTTTTTGGCGAGTTCAAGCACTTATGCATCAGGACCAGAACCGGTGAGGCCTAACGTCGAATGGGTCTTCTGGTTCAAGTGCTGCTATAGTCCTGGTTCCAATGCCCTGCAACTAAAAGGCGCCTCTTTCGGGCAATTGCGCGGCGGCTCCTATTTTGAGAAACACCGCAATACTGAAATGGTGCAAAATCCTGACCGATGCAGGGGTCTGATTGGCTGTTTTTCCACAAAAATTGTGGATGGAGGGATGCTGTAACCTAGGTAGTACAATGTGTTGTGCGGTCTGAAACCCCAAAAAGTCGAGACTAACAACCTGCTTTTTCTTGCATCCTTATCAAGCCCCCTACTTGAGTTTCATCGCAAAAACAGCAAGACCCAATCCCCCAACCCCAACAAACCCAAACGCGCAAGCATTCCCGGTAGAAGAAAAGCAAAGTATAGCTCCTGCTGGCAGATCTCCTCAAGGCGCTCAAGCTCTCGTTGCAAGTCCTGGGGATCAGGGGCCTTAGCATGTGGTGGCTGCCAATGTCACGGTTCTTGTAGGGGGCATCAACAATAATGCCATCATTTTGAAGTGCCTGATTCCCCCACTCCTTTACCCCTTCCAGCCCTTCCGTTCCCTGCTCATTTTGTATGTCTTGCCCCCTCCATGCTTAGTGTCTTTTCATCTTTGTCTACATTCTAGACCTCGAGGCGCTCGGCTGGGGCGGACTGCGCTTCAATGATTACAGCGTAAACGAATAGTCATTGCAACGAAAATCAAAGACGCCAGGCAGTGACCGCACAAACTCACAAGTAGCATGGCGCATGCAAGACCGTACAAATTGCGAAAGCGCAATTTTTGCCGACCCCGCTGCACAGCTTTCTAGTCGACAAAGAAGGAACATCGAGAACTCAAAGCCTTCTTCTCTCTGTCCATATCTGTCCATGAGAACGGTTGAGAAGATCCACCCGCGCATCAGTCACCCCGCAGTCTCACGTAGACAAGGATGTGATCATCAAGGTTGAGCTCTCCAACAAAGGGATCCCATCTCGTCCCACTGTGTTGACCAAACTCTGCCTCCGCATCCTGTTTGCCCCTGCTGTTGCAGCGCCGGAGCAACACACCATCCCAAATGCCGATGCATTCCTCTGTATGCTTCCAGATCTATATGCTGGGGATTTCACTCCAAGGGTTCTGAGATGTTTTAAGGGATTGATGCGGGAGGGACATATGCTTTTCAGACAAGACTCGAGCTCAGTTGTCCTCTTACCTTCTTCTGGCCGGTAGAAGCAGACTTCTGAAAGGCCTGAAAGACTCCACTTCTCCACCGCCGCTGAGAAGCGCAGGCTTTGACAGGCAGACGTGAGGGGTCTCAGGTTCGTGATTAAACCAAAAGGAACTGGTAGCGCAACTGCCTCGATCTTCTTTTGAGACTTCCAGTTCTGCATCCTCTGTTGCCAAGCCCTGAAATGTGCTGGCCAATCAACCTGCTTTTGCAACCAAGGGAAGCCCCTCTGGAAGCAGAATCGGACCCAGCACAACTCGCTCGAGTTGCAGTGGCCGTGCCACTCCCGAGAAATTGCACGGCATGTCATAAACGCTTTCAGATCACACAAGTGAAGGACAGGCAGGGGAACCACCCGGAGGTCGGGAGGAATGACTTGGGATCTCACCTGGGAATGGCACGCAAGCTGCGCATGCTGTGCGCACACTAATTCAGGGGTGTTGGTGTCTGCATATCCATTTTTTGCAGCTATCCTCTCTGCCTGGCGTGGCCTGCTAGGGCTCGGTCTGTTGATGGACAAGCCAGGCTTGTCAACATGCATGTCAAAGAAGTCGCCAACTGTGGTCATTGCTGCAGACTCGTCATGCTCACCATGAAGCACCAGCTTTGTTTCTGGTGGAGACCTGAGCTTAAAGGCCAGGCTGACACGACCGGAGCCACGGCCAGGTGCAATGCGATGCACAACTGCTGGATACTTTCCGTGAGTCAGCAACTCCAAGGTTTTCCCGGCAAATGCCACGAGACCATTTGTCCTCGGCACATCAACCCACTTCCCTCGCAGTAAGACCTGCAGAGCACCATCGTGGTTTGTTACCAACGTAAGCAATCCGCGATCGACATGGTCCACACACGCGCCCTCTCCCGAGTAGGAGAAAATGCTGAGAACATGTCCGGCATTGGCGCTGTCAATCAATGGCTTCAACTTGTCCTTGTAGATGCCTCATTAGTGTGCAGCACAAATAACTGCCTTCACTAGGTCTGGAAGGTCAAAAAGCCTGAAGAATCACCATGCGCTCGTTACTTGGGCAGGTCTCTTGCGCCGAGCATTCTGTTCACTGCTTTGAACACCCAAGCTTGATTCAATCGAGCTTGCCATTGGTGTTCACAAGCTGGAAAGTGAACAAATCCAGCCAATCAGGAGAAATCCATAAGTACCTGAAAAGTGATGAGAGAACAAAGAAAACGCAAATAGCCACCGATTCCACTTCTAAGTCGATGGACTTGTTTGGACGGAACAGACTTGGTGAGATCTTTCACTGGCTCGCATCGAGTCTGGATAGGTCACAAGGCAAAAGTTAATCCTTGTTACCCGGGAGCTCTTTCAATGAATACGCTACGTGTGCTATATATTTGTATGTACAAAAACATATAAATATGTATTGGCAACCTTAAGGGGTTATTTTGTTTCCAAGATATGTACATGTATATGTCGTCCTGCTCCAAATGGACGTCCATGAAACTACGAAATGCGTACAATCCCAGCGCCCTACCTCCTACAAAGCCTTTTTTCGCCCCAGACTAAACCGCGAATACATCTTTGTTTCAAATCGTGTGCTGAAGCGTCACGCGGGAGTATGTCTTCATGTGGAGCATAAAGCCCGTAGACCCCGATTACATACCACTCTCCAAAATCCCGCTACCTTCTTCCCCTACCTCCTTTCCTTGAATTCACAAAAATAGGGGCGTCATGGGGGTCAGTGGAAGAGGAATCGATCCCTTGCCCCTTCTTCCCCCCTTGCACGCCCTCCTCCACCACCGTTTGTGAAGTCCAATAAATTCTTGAAATATTTCGAACAATTCAATCAGTTTAAACTAATTTTTTAGAATTCACAAGCCCCAATTTGAATTCACATCTTGGTCGCGAATTCAAGTAAGCCCTTTGGAAATTCAAGTTGAGGGTGGCAGAGTTGAATTCAAGAGGGAAATATTTGAACGCACAAGCAGTTGTGAATTCAAATCCCCGCCCTTGTGGATTCAAATAACGCAAAATATTTGAATTCACAGGAGGGGCAATTTGAACTGACAAATGCTTGCGAATTGAAATATGTCCCTTGTGAATTCAGGTCTAATAATTGCGAATTGAAATCGCGGGGTGGCCTACTTGAACTCACACGGGAACCATTTGAGTTCACAGGCAGCAGTGGATTCAAATCGGGAGCCCGCGGATGCAAATTCTTCAAATTGCTTGAATTCTTGAATAGCTTAAAACATACATATTTGTGCTTGGTGGGCATTCACGAAGACAATGTCAAAACCAACCCTAAATGAACCCCCTCCTTATACACACATATATATATATCTAAATATATACACATATCTGTATAGTGATCCATTTATTGAGCTATCAATTTGATCATTTACTTTACGCCGATATGTATATATGTACATGTGTGTACATATATATACTAACTATGCGTATACATACATATTACATGTACACATATTATGATGTGTGCGTGCGCCTCCATCGGGTATTATTCAGGCATTGCATGCCCTGGAGTAGGGGCGGGAGCACGAATGATAACGATGGAGCAACCGAGAGCCAGATAATGCGGAGCAAGCTAATCATTGCAACCATGTCTGTGCCCGCAGGCTGCTTTTGACTGCGAGGAAAAAACGATCAGGCCAGCTTTTCTGCGTGTCGGGATGAACCTGCACACATGCAATCTCCCTTAACCCCAGGGAAAATCGGTTGTTACACACCAAGGAACATTTGGATTTCTGAAAACCCTTGCAGCACCAAACAGGCCCAAAACGTCAAGGCAAGGCCACAAACTCCAACGGTAGAATGTGACTAAGAGAAGCCTCAACAAACAAGAGCAACAGTAAGAATGATGACGCTGCCAACAACATGTCCATAACACAAAAGGCACATCAACTTGAACAATATACTACAATATACTAAAATATACCATAACAGTATATGGATAGTAGCTCCGTGTAACAAGCCCAGTCGAGTCAAGCCCAAGCGGCCCCTGCCCGCTCCAAGCCCCTCTGGACGGAATCCTGGCTCAGAGGCTTGCAGGGCAACCAGGATCCCTCGAGCGAGACGATTGAAGCCCCGAAAAGCTGCCGTTGCCGCGCATTCTTTCTGAGTGTTGACCTCAGCGGAAAGACAATGACAAAAGAAGGGAACACCACTGCTCTGGGAGCCTATGCCACGCATGGCTACCGCATGGCTACGCTACATCAAGATCCCCCATTCACTCCACTGTCCCATGGGTTCACACGAAGGATTTGTTACAGATCCTGGTGAAAAAGAGGCCAAGCCAAGAATTCCATTCCCAAAGCGCAGAAAAGCTCGCCTTGCATTCCTGAAACCAGCCGATTGCCTTCAAAATTTGATCTTCCCATTAAAGCTGGTTCCCTACTTGCATCTAGGCGCTGTAGTTTGTGAGATGTGCACGCACTCCTTTCCAGGAAGCTCCGCATACTCAGGTTTCTGCCCACAGGCCAGATGGAAGAATTCCTGCTTTGCATCTGGATCCAGTTTCATGTAATATTCTGCTGCGATTTGAAAGCTCGTGGCATCAGAGATCGCCGTGAGAAAATGACGTTCCCACGGCTTGGCACCCTTCTCACTCTCCAGGATGATTGCCCGGCCTTCTTGAAAGGCGGCCGCAAGGCCTCAGGTGTGTTCCACGGTGTACTCGAGAGTGTATTTAACCGTGTTTCCAACGATAACACACCTTCAATCAAAGAAGCCCAGTGAGAAATACAAAGCGGCAGCACAGCCAAACTTGCCCAGAGCCGAGATTCGCTTCGGAGCATCGCGGTCAATATACCGCCCAGGTCTCAGGAAACCCATCTCCACATCTTCAGCACCCAAAGCCTCGACCATCGCTTTTGGCACCCACGCCGAGGCGGTCACTTGGTTACGGCACCTTCTGTTTCTGGAGCAGAATGTCAACTTGGATCACATTCAAGGTTCTGAACATGGTTGCAACACCTGGCAACGAACATCGTTTGGCGTGACCAACCACACCCAGTTGTTGATTACATGCTACTTCAACTACCGCTTGGCCTATGCTGCACTTCTTCCGAAGAGGCTGGTTCTTTCAAAGCTGCCAAGGAGGCCTACGTAGCACCTCGCATGAAGTACGCTATTTTGCTTCTGGTGTCCCCAGCAAACAGCCAACAGTTTCATTAATTTTTTCCAGAGGAACCCTGTATCTACATTCACCAAAGCATGAAAGACCATTAGTCAAAAGTACAAAAGCCACCAAAAGCCTTCCTCACATCACCGTATTGCACTTTTACCAGCATTTTCTGACACTTCTTTCTTAATTTGTTACAGGTCTAGGGACATGTCCGAACTAAAACGGGTCCCTCTTATATTTGGAAAGGGGATAGTTTTGGGGAAGTCATTGTTCCTGCCTTGCTTTATTAGGCAAGGATCTTCGAAAGGGAACCCAACAAGATTCGTCATGGCTGCTTCAGGGATAAAAGTGGCTGAAACGTGGATCGGAGCAGGATGTTTGAGGAGCTGGGGGTTTATCAATAGTTGTAACAACAGCATGAGTATGTTGAACTTAAACGCATTTCGAGTTGGACAGGCCCTAATCGGACCATGAACAGATACGTGCGCGCACAGACCGTTTCCGACACTCCCCCTGAATCCGAACGTTCAACCCCTGTGCTGTGGCTGGTCCTCTACTCGAGCATCATTGCGAAGGTCCTGGACTGCTGCCAGGGCCTACAAATTTCCCGTCTTATGTGTACGTACGAAATAGTCCTCTGCATTGGGCACCGTTACATGAAAGTCCCATCCCAGCAAGAACTTCGAGAAAGAATACCATGTGATCTCCACATGGTGTGTAACGCAATGAGTGAAAGCGGATTGCAGCTGCGGCTTGCGCCCATCTAGTTTGTTGGTGGCGTGAGTCGAGGGTTGTAGCTACATGCTTGGACCTCCTAATGACGCCATGCGTTTTGTGCTGCTACTCTCCGACAGCAGGCGCTGCAAAGACTACAGCCTAGTTCCCGGGTGTCATAGGGTACCGATTCAGTCAGCGCTTTGCATTGAGACGCCTAGAAGCTTTTTCTTCCTGCTAGTGGCACAGCACACGCGAAGAAGATCTCAAAGCAAGTTGTTCAGGGACAGGGACAGCTGAAATGCCTGCACACGGTCCCCAGCTACTGCCTGTACAGGCTGGCTATAGGTTACGGCAAGGTGTCCCCCTCCAGGGAGAGGGACGCCAATTCCGAGGCCTAGAGCCGCCCTGATGTTGCGGAGGATGTCCGCAGGCTCCGACACTTGCCTGGCAAAAAGCTAGATGGTCCAGATGGTGATGTGCGAGCTTTTATTATGTTTTTGCTGCTCAGAGATTCTGAGTGGATGACCTTCCTCATTTTGGACCTTCTTCAATTCTAAGGCTGAGATGAGGACCTATGATCTTTGGTGGCGGCCTCTGTAAGATGCTCTTGAGATGCGGTGCCTGCACTGAAATGCCGTTTCAGAGCACTTCGAGATGCCATGAGCACCCTTTATGGCTAACAGCTCTTGCACCAAGTTTCAGCTCACCTTGAACAGTCTGGATGAAAGTTTCTCAAGGAGTATTCCCACCACACAAACATCAGCAAGGCAAGACTGAGGCAGATGACCTGGCTCCCGAGGCTTACACGTCCCTCCAACTGCGCTGAGAGACATGCCGGCAACTAGTTGACCCGAACCCTGCATGGGAATACCTCCATGTTGACGCAGCTCTGTTTCGAAGAGCTTTTGGCAATTGTCTACGAAACCGCTGCAGTGGCAAACAGGGGCTAGGGCTTTAAGATGTGACGAAAACTTTCGGAAGCAGAATTAACTTAAAGATCGGCCTAGAGCCTCGCCAACGATCCCAGAAAACAAAAGAAGGAGCCTTCGCTCTACCAGCACACCGGCCGCCCCGAAGGCGAACACGTAGAGCCTCTGCTGGATCAGCAGGACATTGTGGAGAAATCTTAAGATTGCTCCCGCTCGCAGCATAAGTTGATAATCGCTGAATGCAATTTACTTTGCGCACTAGTGAGCAGTCGGAGGAGAATGATTTAGCAAGAAAACGTCCCGGCCAGCTTTTCAACAACCGCAAGGCTCGGCAGTGTTGGAAACATCCAATAGAAATGCCGAACTGAGCATAGTGGGGTCTGCAAACATTTTTGGTGTATACAATTTTCAGCCAGAGGCTACAACGCAAACCTCTGTTTTTAGTATTGTTCCCTGCTAATGATTGCAACCCAGGACACGCAAGTCACAGGTAGACTTAGCCTACTCATCTTTTGTCGGGAATGCAGGAATGGGTCCTTAAGCTGGCCCATCTAACCCGCACAGTCCCTAGCATGAGTCAGTCATCTGCGGTTGGACTTAAGTGAGTTCAAAGCAGTGGTTGCTCAAAATGCGGTTAGGGTTCTGAGGAGGAAACAGGAAGCTTGAGTGCTAACCCTGCACCTTCCTGGAGTCAGACAAGTAATTACACAATGTAGAGCTCTCGCCATGCTAAATTTGAAGCTCTTGCCGCTTCAAAAGAAAATGCTCTGATGCAGAGTCATGGTTCGTGCAGCAGCCTACATCGATACTTATATCAGCGTCAGCCACAAATGCATACCAACCACATGCAGAGCTCAGAGAGCCTGAGAGCGTCATGGGGGTCAACCCTTGACCCCTTCAGGGTTCTTGCATCCTGCAAGCCTGACAAAATCCCGCGACCCACAACCCCACGATGATTGAACAATCTTCTACCCCCATAAAGACGCAACAGAATCTAGAGCCCCTGCACACACGCACACAAAACCCACGACCCACGTAAAACACTTGAAGGCCATCGCCCGTTGAGGCTGGCACCCCAACCCCATGGGCATAGGCCAGCGCATCCAACCTGCCAGGAAAGGACACTATTGCGCTAGCATTTTGCCAATTGATTGTTACGTTTTCGTGCTTCTGCCTAGTACTCACTCTTATCCAGAACATCCTGAATCAACTGAATGTTTTAATCCCGCATGGATTAGATGAGGGAGCGTCATTGCAAAAGGAGCCGACAAGGAAATTAGGATAAACCTGGAGCACCTATTTCATCTGGTATCGGGCATCTGGTATCAACTTGCGACTCTAAAGATCTTGAGCGGGCAACCCCAACAACCTAAAATACCAAGCAATCAGAACATGTCCATGTGGATGGGATTGGGCTGCTGGCTTCGTTCGTTTTGAAATTCAACTTGGTACCGGGTCGACACAAGAAGTGGATTGCATTGTGGATTCTACTTCAAAGAAGATGCGGACTGTTTGGTGATACCTGCGTCTGTAGCTCGTCAGTCTGGCTTTGAATCACTCTTCGCCCCTCCGAGAGACTCCAAACCCCACTGCATGCCCCACCTTCCACACTGGCGCGTGTGTCTCCGCCAAGGAAGTCCACTTTGCCGGTCTCTACACGCGTGGGCTCCGCAGTGCTATATGTCCTGTGCTTGGAAGAGGTCTGAGGAATTGAAGTTTGGGGATGAGAACTGACTGCTGAAGATTAGCTGTGAAAGGGTTGGCATTTCGAGATTGGAGGGTGCTCAAGCCGTCTGTTTGGAACTCCGCGAAAATCTCACCTTGGGGGATCCTGGACGCCCTGAACCAAGTACAAACATACCAGGGATGCCACTTCAAGCCATGCATGTAGATGTGCCTAGAAAGCTAGAACAAACATGATTTGGAGGCTCCTCAAAACCAACTATCTCTCGCCCGAACCAGCACAGGCTTCGACACAGCGACACCAACATTGCCTAAATCGAAACCTTGAATGATCAACAATCCGCTCCAGCCTCCAAGCCCGGCTTCCCGGCCTCCAACAAATTACAAACCCCCTACTCCACCGAAAAGCTTCCAAGCCACCCGAGCCCACCCCGGCCGTAGGCCAAACCGAACCTCCGCGCTTCGGATGAGCGCTCCTCGTTTTTCTTTGGAGGGTGCTCGGGGCCTGGGGTTCGGGGCTAGGGGATCAGTTCTTCTTCACACCCCTTCAGACCCGTTTGGCGCCCAGGATTTAGGACTTTGGGCACAGAACTCAAGGAGTGCTTTTGAGATGCACACAGTTTGGTGCCTGTTGAAACATACGCAACAAAATTACGGAGTCCTTTTGTTGAGATGTCTTCCCTAATAAGCCTACATGATCTATGGCCCCTAGCTTGCTTGCAGAGTTCTTGAGGACCGGGATTGGCGCTTAATTCGGGTTTCAGGATTGAGGGGCTGCGGGCTTGAGGGAGGCAAGGTTTTAGGCTGAAGGATTGAGGCGCTTCTAGGGTTCAGGGTTTGGGCGCGAAGCTTGCTTATTTGGTGCCTGCATGAAGCTTCTAGAAAGCTGGTTGAAATCGCTATACCCATCTCAAACCCCTAATGCATAACCTGACCCTTAGCTCCTCTCGCTTCAATGGGCCAAGGCCGTGAGGTTTGAAGCCAAAAAGCCTCTCCTTGGCTTCGAATGGGCAGGGAAGGTTTGCAGAATGATCTTCATGGAGTCGGTTTACAGTTTGGGGCCGGATTAGCGTTCGGGTGGGATTTGGGGTGGAGGCTAATGGCTTAAGATGTCTGGTGCGGATGCTTGGAACTGATGGATCCCGCAACACTACGGGTTCCGACTGTGGACGTGATGCAGAAGGTCAGACAAAAACAGAAAGCATCTTGAATATATTGTTCCTCAACAACTCGGGCCCCTTCCGGAGAGTACCCGTAAGTCCTGTAAGCGAATGCTGCCTTGTAGGGTTTACCGCACTTGTTTGGCTTGAGAAGGGATGTAGCTGGTGGCAGAAGCCACATGGGTTCTATGGCGTAATCTCTGAACTGGCACGCCACATGCAGTCCTCGTGCATCCCTATATGATATGACTTCATCCCCTTGATGGCTTGAGTCAAACAACCATGCATGTTGAGGAGCCCAACCTTTGATGCGCTTTGCCCGAGTCCATGAAAGGTCAAGTAGCCCCTACTCCTTGGCCCGTGACGCCGCCGAGGAAAAGCCTCTCCTTGCAGAAGCAAGCGCTCATCTACTGGCTGACTCTGGGCGAGCTCAAATGTGTCAAGACAGCAAAATGGGATGACCCAACAGTCCCAACCAAGAGTATGCTTTTAACCACATGGGCTCCGTCCAAAAGCCGTCTTGGCGACAAGAAGAACAAGAGAAAATCAGAATCAGCAATCACAAGCCTTTCCCTCTAGCATTGGCATTGGCAGCAGCAGGTGGAGGAGTAGTAGATGAAAGACAACATGAAAAAACTTCGCCGAGCCACCTCCCAGGGCATCTGGGCGTCAAAGAGCGGCTTCGCTAAGGCCGCGCCAGCAGAGACCTGCCAGGATTCTTTGCAAGCGCTGGAGTTCAGGGTGCTTGTGTAGAGTCTACGGCGGTGGGCCGATGCAAATTTGGAGCCTGGAAGCTTGAACCCAGCTGAACCGAAGCCTGGTCATTTCTCTAAGTGGAGATGCTCTTGTTTGCCCATCGACATCATAGGAACCCCCAAGGGGGGACCGCCCTAAAGCATGCTTTTTTTTTCTGGACATCAAGTATCTGCGCCCAAATCATATTCTGAGGGCCTGCGTATGTACCAGCATCTACCGCTTGGTTGCTTGGACATGCTTGGGCCCTTGGGAAAGCTCCCACCTGCCAAATTCCGGCCAGGAGGGCGCCGCGCTGTGACCAGGAAGCTTCTGCACGGGCAACCTGGACCAGGACCGAGACAAGCTTCTAAGACTACCTGCAAAGACATTCATGGATTGCACACATTTGAAAATTCAAATGCGGCATACTTAATGAGCATCTGCTCCGCTATCAGAAATTTAGAGCCTAGGGCTTGAGGCCCATCTACATACTTCAGGAAGGCGAGCTTTGAGCGTTGAAGTTGAGTCTATAGTGAGGCTACAAACTTTACATTAACAGCAGAGGTGAGCTTCAGGCTTGCGGCGGCCAAACCCCTGGCGTACCACCCGATACAAACCCTACGCGTGAGTCATGCTTTCAGCATACTTCTGCCACTAAGGCAGGGTTTGGGTGTCTTCAGACGTGTGCTCATGGCCCTACACAGCTTTCCACTCAGCTCCTCCCTGCCTTCACATCCCCAAGAAGTCCGGCGACCTCGCCGAAGAGTCCTACTTGTCCACCCAAGGTCTCCGTGCCATAGCCTCAGCTCAGTCTCCCAGCCGCAACAGAGCCCAAACAGGTCTGAGCTTTGTGATGTGGAACTTTTTGGGGCAAATGAGGGACCGCGAAGAACAATGAGAAGGAACACGGTGTTCACCTTTAACAAATAAGGCAGAGGATAAGGCTGGATGCAAGAAGACAAGTGTATGGACTCACGCTGCAGCAGATTCAAAGGCCGCGGGATTGGTATCTCTTAACCTCAAACCAGGGTTGTTTCACAAAATTCAAACCCCTTCCATTCTGAACGCAGCAGCTGTTCAAAAATTGATAGGAAATCGATGTCTTGGAGGATTGCAGTGGAAAGCCCAGCATAGCTGCGTCCTCCGTGCGAAGGTCCCGAGAGGCATAGCCAAGCCGAACCTAAGTGTCAAGGCATGGATCTGCGAAGAATCTCTCAAAGTTGCCCACGCTCCAGGAAGTTTTTTGGGCAAAAAAAGTGATTGCAGCAAATTCCTCAAGTGAATCCTTAAATGACCGAAGCCCCCGTAAGATTCCAAACCCTTGTGTCGCCTCCCTTCTCAAACAAGGATATGACTAAATTTGTGTAGAAGAATATGAACCAAATTGTTCAAGGATTCTATAAATCCATTGGGGTAACATTGGGGTTATATTGGGTTTTTATAGGGATAATGAAAAAGAAAATGGAAACTACCATAGTATAATATGATTTTCAAGGCCCAAGGAGCTTTGTGCCTGCCCAGCCGGTCCGCCAGGCAGGCCTGCAAGTGGCTACGCTGCCAGGCTGGCCCGGTAAAGCCCAGAAGGCCTCCAAGCCTTGGCTCTGCTTCAAATAAACCCCAAATCCTAAACCCGATTTAGGCTACTAAAGTAAATTATGGTAAGTTACACTTATAGTATATTATAGAGGTAGGGTTGGAGAAACCCTAAACCCTAAATAGTAGTTTCCATCTCATTTTCCCTTATCCCGATATAACCCCCATGTATCCCCACTTCTTCCCGGCTTCTTGGCATTACATATGGAAAGCATGAACCTCAGAATGGGACATGGTAGCAATCTACAAACGATCACAACAGCAATCAACACCTTCCACGTAGACTCCGGCTAGGAGCCCATAGCCCAACTCCAGGCTCGGGAGGACAGACCATGCGCCCGAGCGGATCAGGGGAGCGGCTGTGATGTAGCCACCCAAGCCTTCTTGAGCGAGATTCCTGGGTCACCCATATAAAGGTGAAGGGTCAGAATTAACATTGTCATTGGGCTCCGTTAGTTGTGGCGTCTCTTGTTCACGGTTACATAGGGTCAGGGCCTTTGGGTTTTGGATGCTACGGGTGTGACGACTTGTTCATAGGGGATCCTTCTGTATACCTGTAGTTGCTAGAAGGTCAAACGACCAAGCGCAGAGCGAGTCGGTAGCCCAGCTATTCCACCAACCTTCCCCTAGCTCAAGGTAATCCTAGGGCCGAAGCAACTAAAGAAGGCTCCAAGCAAAACGCTTATGATAAACCGAAATAACGAGTTTGGCACGATACTTAACATCTCGTCGTAACTTCACCCCAAACTCACAGACCCGAAGCCCAAACTCTAAAGCCCAGAACGACCAGGAGTCCACACGCCCTCAGTGGAGACACGGAGGGGAGGGGGTCCGCTTGCTGCAGCGGGCGTGGCGTCAAACCTGGCTTTTGGAACTTAGGAATATAAACAAGTGCTATTATTATGTATATACACCTTGTAGCTGCTAGTGTCACGAGGAAGAAAATGAGTAACAGATCCACAGTCTAGGATTTCGGAGGTCTTCTTGTCGTTGTGCTTAACTAAGGCTGACTGACTAGGGGGGATTTAAAATTTAAGTAGCAGCAAATGTGTGTTCAAGCATGTTCCCTCTTTTTTTGGCCTAAGTATTCATCGGAGAATAACACTGCCTTTCTCACTCCCAGGAGCTTCAGGGCAAAGGCGGACCCAGACAACAGCGGCTCCTGCCCGGCCCTTGCAAGAACGTGGCCACCATGCTCCGGGCGCAGAGTGACACATACGATGCCCTCCCGGGGCCCTGGGGTCACCTCCACAACCCCATCTCCCAGCTCATCTGCAACTGCATTCAGCTCTGCATTCAGCTTGCCCAGTGTGGGACATTCGCGCAAACGCTTCTCCGCGCGAAGGGCAGAGGCCCGCGCCTCGCCCTGCAGGCCCTCTATGAAGACTTTGACAAAGTCCAGCGGGGTGTTAGCAGGCACATATCGCGGCGCCATGGCCCTGAAGGACCATTTCAGCTTTGAGCCGCTCGCATCACAAACAACAAGTCATTTCCAAACTCCTACACATCTTCAGGCACTTCAGTGGCCCTTGACAGCATGCTCACATGATGCTGAAGTCATGCTTGAATCCCAGAAGTGAAGGTCCTCTGCCTGCTCCAGACCTGAAGTCAAGCTCTTCCTCGGCTGCTGCTGTCCAAAGCGCAAGAAGTGGCAGTGTCCCAACAAAGAAGCCTACCTTGTGCTGCTAAGCAAGTGCACATCTCATCGGGAAGACGCCCAAAGTGGGACCGCCATATTGCAGACGCACTTTAGCTTGCAAGACACTGAGAAAGACCAGCAGCACCTTTTGTAAACCCTCGAGCCAACAGTGCTACTTGCAAAGTGTCAGAAATGGCCGGGTGTGGCAACAAGCTCGTCTTGTTTGAAATAAGTGGGGTAAGCAGTTGTGGCACTGGCGGCTGCAGCAGCAGAAGCAAAAGTTTTGGTGGTAACCTACAGCTGGAGACACAGCTGGAGCCCAAAGCATCAGAGCTATACATCGCAAAATCCGAAGTCGAAGAGAAGCCACCTAAATTTTGATTGTTCACGCCGCTAATTGAGACTCACATGGACCCTTCTTCGGAGCACTTTGGCCGTTCAGCGTAGGGTTTCAGCCCAGGACAGCACAAGGAAACCTAGCAATTATAAGCAATCACTACGCAAGGATCAAGGCACTGAGATAGCCCAGAGCTGACCAATGGCTCCATATGAGCCTCAGTGGGAAACCCTTGAACCCGCGACGCATGGGAATTGCCCAGCGTCGCAAGCTGACGTTGGGCTTCGCTGACCGCAGTCTGCGCCTCCTGGTTGGCCTGCTGCAGCTGAGCCTGTCAAAAAAGGACGGGTTGTATGGGGTTTATAATTAGGGTCTATGGGGAAAGATTGCTACAGATGGCCTGAAAATTGTTGAAATTTGTTGCTAAATGGATTCTGGAGCACATATATTCTTTTCTTCTCCCAGGGAATCCCTTTGTATTGCTGAGACAAGCCGCGGGGCGCAGACCGTTCAGCAATTAGCTTTGTATTCGTATACCGGATGGAGACCCGAAAGCGGAGGCCACGCACACAGCAAATAAACGTAGAGTTGGCAATACAACGAGATGGAACATGAGCATAGACCCTAAAACCTCCGCTAGTGATTGGCTCCTGCATTGTACAGTGCGCCTGAAACTCCGCCAGTCGAAGCTCCGAGTCTCGCTGCTTCAGCGCAGCCTTGTGACGTCAAGAAAGACACTACGTGGCTTTGTTTAGTCTATTTGCGGTCTAGGGCTTGGGGTTTGAGATCTGGGGTTGAGGGTTTCGGGGCTCTGCCTTTCAGCAGCTGCAGGGTTTCTGGGGCAATGTTCAGATACAGCCTCGCATTGAGGCATCAACTGCCTTTGTGAAGGGTTACAACACATGAGATCAGATATCAATATTCTGTGGAAGGGTTAGATGGAGCTGTGGCAATAGCCGATACCATAATAGCCCCAGTTGCGGGAACGTTCTGGGCTACACCTCAAGCGCCCTGAAAGAAGGAAAGCCAACAGCAACATCAGAGTTGCGAACCCCTGAATTCCAAGCCGTATGAGCACCCCTAACAGATCCTGAGCACAGGAGCCTGGCTTCTCTCAAAACCTGAATTGAGGGTATGAATTCAAATTGGTAGTCTGCATGTCGTGAGAAATTACAAGCCCTAATTACTTTTCGAGCTGGGTCGAAGCAGGCGAGCTCAAGAAAAATTCTCAAAATTGGAGGCTCTACATAACTACACCAGGACCTAGTGTTATGGTGTTAAACAGCGTGACGCGCCTCCTGCTCAATTTCCTTAATCCTCACCTGGGCAGAGGAGTTTTTGGTGGCAATACCAAATGAGACTCAATCCTTGCGCCTGACATGCGAAAGCAGGATGCCTGCCTCAGAACAGAGTTTTGCTGGAATGCTCAGGAACCAGTTCCGAGGATCTGGTATGGCAAGTGCTCACCAGTGCAGCCTAGATGTAAACAAAGCTAGGAGGGATGCGCTGCCGGAGCGGAATGGGCAATTCCCAACAATGGAGTTCTTGGTTGAAGATGTGAGAGACATCACCTCTTGAGAAACAAGTAGGAAGGGTTCAAGACCTTGCTGCTTCTTGCGCTTTGGGATGCTTGATGGCTCGAGCTAGCTGTTTTGCCATATATCCAACAGAAGCGAGGGTGCCGCATACATGAAGGATGCATGAGTTGCAATACAGATCACAAACGTTCGGGTGAGAATTCTGGTGCAAGAAGTTCTTCTGATTTTTACTCTCAGATTATAATACCTGATTATAGTACCTATCATCAACTACTACCTGGGGCAATACTTACTATCTGTTGAAGTCTATGATTCACGTTGACTCATGCATCCAGCTCTTTCGTAGCTGCGGCATTCGCATTTCATGACTCTTGTGGCTTGAAGGCTCGTAGCCCTTGGACTGATGCGCCAGTCTGTGTAGTAATCGGTGCAAGATGATTCGGCCCGAGCGGCCCGAAACAAAAGCATCAGCCACGCTACCAGTAAGTTTCTTCCCCATTTCCAGCCCACGGGATGCTGAGCGACCAGCGTTGGGACTTATCTGTTGGGCAATACGTGTACGGACAATGAAGCGCGAAGAATGACAAGACAATGCCAAGAGAATTTCCATCACTCATCACACCTTCCAAGAGCAACTCATGAGCATCTACAACACCCTATGAAATATCTCCAGAACCTACACATACTCTGAAGCCTTACAAGATCCCCGTGGAAACCTGTAGAAACCCAGCTTACAACCCAGACAACCCCTTATGCGAGCCTCCGCCTCAGCTTTCGCCCTGTCGATCAGCAGCTGGCGCTCGGATTCACTCCTCTCTTTGAGCTCCTGGCCAGACTCATGCAATAGTAACCAATAATGAAAGTAATTCTGATATAATAGAATGGAATATTATTAGCATAGAACTACTACTAACAATAAGAAATAGTAGGTGCGCTTTCGGTGTAATACAGTCCCTGCTAACTGTTCAGGGGGCCATAACTTGGCCGGATAACCGACATTTTGAGGAACCTGTATGTAATCCTCCTAATCAAGCAAGCTTCTACATTAGGAGCTGTCCATGAAGTCTAGGCCTGGAGATCAAGGAACTGCGGGTACAGCTTTCGGCGTTCTAAGGTTGCAGGAACTTTGCTGAGCTTCCTGGGACTGCATTTAACGCCTTACTTGGGAAAACCCGAAGGCTTCATGCGGCCATGCATGGCTTACCCATCGCATCGCGTGTGATTGTATACGCTGTCTTGGATGCTTCACAGGGAAAGCTCATGATCTCGTGCATATGATGACACATCAACTCTCTGAGTCTCATGCTTGGTTATACCTCCGATGTTACAAGTGACTCGCAGCAACCACCCTACTTCAGAAGTCCACCTCCCCTGACGCCCTTATAAGTATCATGATAGCATCCTGTCCTCTCACCCAAATTCAAATATAGGTCATCTGAGCATAATTTGTTGCGGGTTTCATAGCACTGGTATCAGAATCAAGCCTGCCAATCAAGAAAGCTTCGAGGACTTGGTATGCAAAACGTAACAATCTTCATCTTCATGTCCTCTGCAACATGCCAAACTGGTCACGGCATTTGAATGAGCAAGCACAGAGGATTTCTCCACCCTCCTTCTCAATCCTAGAACAAGCCGAAAAGTATGAACCTCTGCACCAAAAAATCGTATGGCTGATTGGCCCCTCTTCACCTGAAGCACTGAACCCCCACAACACCAGTTCCATGCCTGGAGTTGCACCTGAGCAGAGTCTTGATTAAACCTGGGTTCTGACACCCTGCAAGAGCCTAGAATCTACAAGTACATTCTTCGCTCAGAAGCCTGAAGCTACTGTTTCGGGCCAAGGGACATTGTGCTATGACACTCTGGCTACAAGGTCCAGGCAAAAACTCAGCATAGGAGTTGCAGGTCATGGATACAAAGTAGGGTCCAAACCAATGCTTCTCCCGAAGGACGTAGGGCGTGAATAGTGCTCAGATTGGATTGGAGCTAGGTCACCGTACCAGTTCGAGAGCAGCCAAGGTTGAGGTTTTTGGGTGTAGCGTTTTGTTTGGATGAGGATTTGAGCTGAAGGGAGCGGCGGAAAAACGCGGACCATACCCGCCCCTCATGAAAAGACAAGCGGAAGCCCTGCACTGGTGCAACTTAAAGACGAGGGTGCCAAGTCTTAGAGCAAGCCCACCATGTAGCAAAGACCTTCCCAAGGTTGTCAGCTATCGGCTCCAACACGCACCTAAACTATTCTGGCAGTGCACATGCCCTCTCCTCGCTGCCGCGTCATTGTCCCTGAAGCCCGCAGTTGGACAAAATCGAATGAAAAAGCTCCACAAGCTCGGCATCAACCAGAAACCAAGTAGCCGTGTCCACACCCCAAGTCCTACCCCCTTTGCCATCCAATCAAAGAGAAGCCCCAAAGGCTGCACCCAAGGCGCATTGTGCTGGCTTCGCACGTTGTCCATGAGCTCCATTTGCGCCTGAAAGACCTGCTGCTGGTTCCTGACAGCCAGGCAATTTGAAGGCTTTCCAAGTGCTTAGATTGTAGAGGGATGGATGACGAAGATCGAGGTCCACTGCAGCGGTATTTACCGGTAACTAAGGGGACTTTGTCTTCTGACCAAATCCTACTCCACATTTAAATGTCTTCATGTAATCATCCATCGCTGCTATTTGGAAGTCCCAGCCTGGCTGCTTGCTCCAACATCTCCACCTGTCAGGAATCCGAGATAGGGCCCGTTAAGAGGGACTACCTTTGGGAATACTCTGGCTCCTTGCGAGAGCCCTGCGGAAGGAAGAATCGCCAAACAAGCTGTTTAAATAGTGGTGGAGACGCGGAAATGCGGATCCCTAGTCATGAGCGCTTGCCAGGAAGACATGCCAAAACGGGCTCGTGGCAACACATAGCATGGCGGCACAAGGAAGCTGAG